ATCAGTGATTTTTTCTTTAAATCTATTCCAATAGTTTTTATATTTTTGAAAATGATTCTATGTTATATTTTACTAAACTCTCTATAAAAAGTGCTCATTTAGTTAACTCTTTGTTATTTGTCCTGATTTTTAATTTTTGACCCTGTTCAATGACCAGTAAAACATTTAGTTGCACATTTTTCATTATATAATTTGCTTGTCTGAATGCAGCAACATGGGAATAGGAAATAAATGTTACTAAAACACCTAATCATGTGAATACTGAAAAATTATTGTAATTACATTTATCTTTGTTTTCACATCTAGCCATTGATATTAAAAGTATGCTCCATAACGATCACATGTGTATTACCCAATGATATTATATATAAACTAGTTGTCTTACTTCAATTCAAAAAGTGAAGCCGATTTTGTCCTTTAAACAAATGACAGATTAAATTTTTAAACAAATACTATTCAACTATTTTTTTATAAATAAAGTAAATATATTTTTATATATGTAATATATTTTAAATCTATATATGTAATTTATATATGTAAAAGTGTTAAGAGGAATTTAGAGTACTTGTAAAGTAATAATTTATCATTTCTAAATTTATTTTTGATTAAAAAGGGATTAAAATTTAAAATAAAAATAAACCTTAAATAAACCTTGATAAGTACTTTATATTTATTATAACATGTTTTTGAATTATCTTTAATTTATTGGTTAATTTTGACTCGCATTTTGAACTTTTATTACACACATTTGCTTCAGCTTTAACACTTTTTACAAATGGCAAATTATATTTTTAATCAAAAAAGCGACAACATTTTTTGTTCAATAAAGGACCGCAAGTTTGACATCTAGTTTATTTAATATATCATCTAGTTTATATTATATAGTTTGTTTTGGGATTGTTCGTCAATTATTGATATTTTGAAAAAACGGAGCCAGAGGTATGTGATTTGTCATATGTTCAAATTAATCATATTTCTGAAAAGTCTCATGACTTTTAACAAAATTAGGTGGTAAAAAACCACCTGATTTTGTTTAAAACAGAAAGTCTAGATCACAGGTGGAGTTTTAAAAAACAAAAGGCTATACAGTTAATTTCTTTTGTATACTGGTCTCTATGCACTGAAGATACAAATTAAATTAGCAGAATCAATGCATTGGTTATGCATTGATGCTATTAAATTGGTTGGGATGACTGGATGATTAAGGCTGCGGATTATTATGGTCCAACATTCATAATATACAGTTTTTTGTAGTTTTCTGAATGATTGCTTTTTAGTTTTCTGAATGATTGCTTCTGAATGATTGACCGCAAATTTAACATCTAGTATATATAATACATCATCTAGTTTATATTATTTAGTTTGTTTTGGGACTGTCCGTCAATTATTGATACTAGCTGGGCGGACCCGTAAAATACGGGTCTTTACCGAACCGACCATTTTTATACTTATCTGATCATTTCTATAGCTATCAGGACGTAAAATAAGGGTCTTAGTAAATCTATTCCACACCGACCTTTTCTATACTTATTCCTTACCTCAATATTTTTTTAAAACCGTTTTAAAAACTATGTACATATAAAAAACTATACTTACTTTTTGATATGACAAAAAAATTTCATTATATAACGTTATAATGTTCTTTAAAAAACTTTAAACGCTTTTAATATTATGCCGATTATAAAGATTTTAATAAGAAAAAACGTAAAAAAGACTACGAACTTTGAAAAATGCTAAAACATTCAGCACGTGATGCCGTTAAAGTACGCCTTAGTTAACGTTCATAACATATACACATCTAATTAGATTTTTTTTAAATTCAGTTGTTCCAAACTTGGTTTTGAATTTTTAATTACACTTCTTATGCGTCATAAATTATCTCAAATTCTAAATAGAGAATACGTTTATGGGCTAATTGGTAGCCGCGCAACACTTAGACAGATATAGTCATCTCACCCCGGGAGTTCATATTCCAGTGACCTTTTTTTTCATCCCAACTTACAACAAAAATAATTAAAAATAAATGTTATTATTGAAACAGTTTTAAACATTTCTTCCAATTTTTCTTTGAACTTAATTTTATTCACGGTAAATATACTTTTGGTGTTTGTAAGCGTTTTTTTACGTTTAGTATTGGTAGGAATTATTTGCACGCACGTATTTTAAACAATTATTTTTACTGTTTCATCTAAAAATCATATGTAATTTAGTTTTATAATTTTTTAAATATAATATATATAATTTAAAATATTTTATTAACCCTATTTAAATAAGTATCAAAACTCTTTTCTTTAATTTAAAAGAATGCCTGCCCAAACCTAAACGCTCAGTTGATGTATCTCCGCTTTGCTTTTATTTGTTAACCGTTAGAAAAACATTACAAAAAGAAACATAATAGAGTCCATTAGTTTATAGCATCCGAGTAGACTCTTCCAATATTAAACAGAGTATCTTACAATTTTATTGGTTTTCTAAATTCTGTCATAGTTGCGCACTCGGTTTAGAATATTTAACGGGGGCGTAAATAAGTAACTGTAAAATTCTAAATATTTTTATTATTTTAAATTAAATAGTTTTAACGTTTTATTATTTTGAAAAATAATAAGTTCAATAAAATAATTTATTTTAAAAATAAATTTAAGATTTTTAAAGTTTTTTTAAATAAGAATGTTTTTTTTAAAACCCCCTCACTGTTTTAAAAAAATTCAAGGTCGCCGCGTGGCAAGTTCAAATCATCAGCTTGCTTTTTTTAATAAAATTATTGTTATTTAAAATGCAAAACAAAACAACTTTATAGTTCTAAATATTTACATGTTATATACCCAATTTCTTTGCGCTAATACGACTTAAAATAACATGACAAATAACAAATTTAAAATTATAATAAATAAAAGTTTACGTAAGGCTAACCACGGCATTTTGACGAAAATTTCAAAAATATATAATAAATAAAAGACTTTGTAAATCGATCAAAATTAAAGAGACGTTGCCGCAATGCTGTTTTTAAGTGAAAGTAAAACTGTAAAACTTGACATGTTTTTGTATGTTTTAACATTTCATATTTTGAAGTTTACGTAAGTTAGATATTTGCATACACTTTTGTTTACGTTTATTTATCAAAAAGTGCTGAGACTCTTCCTCGCCATTACTTTGGTTGCAATAGTTGCCATGGGTTTGTCAAACACGCTCGAAAGAGCGCTACTAACACTATTAAGTTCGGCAATAATATATAGAGAAGATAGCTTTTAGTAAATGGTATGAATATACATTTGATAAAGTATTTTTGATAATGTATGAATAGACGTATTACTAATGGTATTAGTAATACGTCTTTAGAAAAAGTAAACGCTTTTAAAAAATGATTAACGATTAACAATTTTTAAACCAGTTATAACAAGAAATCTACCTATAAAATGAAGAAAAATATTGTTATATAAAACACTGAATACACATATAAAAGTTGTTTAAAGTTATTTAAAAGTTGTCTAAATGTTGAAAAATTACATAATAAGATGTAAAAAAATATATAAAAGGTGACGAAACTTAGTCAATTATCAAACACTAAATAAGAAACTTACTTTGTGAGATCGCTTTTGTGGAAGTCTCTAGTATTTGATTGGAAGGCTGGAAACACTCTTTATTTAAAAAGCTATTTTATCAACAATGCTAAAGATAAAAAGTCACAGTGAGATAAAAAAGTTAGGCATTTATTCAAAAAAATATTTCTTGGCTTTTAGTGAATGATTAGAAGGAGTAGTTTCAGTAATGAAGCTAGCTAATAATCATTTTTAACGATAGACACCAGCGTGAAGGTAAGCCAAGCTGTCTATCAACACAAAACATCACAACAGAAACATTACACAATGACAAACAAAAACACCAGTGGTGTAGACAGGACTTTTGTTGTTTTATAAGAAATTTAAAACCTGTTAATGAATAAGATTATTATTATATGCTTAAAAAAAATACTTTTTTAACTAATTGGCAGCTAAATTCAAGGGAGGAAAGCAAACCTTTTTAAAACATATTTGTTTTCAAGCCCCAACCACATCCATATTTTACAAATTATTTGAATTTGACAAACATGAACACAATTAAGTTTAGTTGAAAGAGTCTGAAAGTAATGAAAGAGTTTGAAAGTAAATAGTCTGAAAGTAATGAAATAGTCTGAAAGTAATGAAAGTAATAAAAGAGTCTGAAAGTAATGAAAGAGTTTGAAAGTAATTAAAGAGTCTGAAAGTAATAAAAGTAATAAAAGAGTCTGAAAGTAATGAAAGAGTCTGAAAGTAATGAAAGAGTCTGAAAATAAAAGTAAAACCTGAAGCATCAAAAAATCCTGCCTACGCTACTGAATAATACACAACATATGACATTTGTAAGTACACATTACACAATGTATTCAGATATTATGTGTTTCCAAAATAATTAAAAAAGCTAGACAACACAACCTAGTTCAACACTTGTAACACCGCTTGGCACTAAACGCTGCCAAGTAACACCACAATTTAGTAACACCGCTTGGCATTAAGTGCCAAGTAACACCACTAATTAGTAACACCACTTGGCTGGCAAGGATCACAATCTTGCACTACACGTTGCCAAGTAACACCACTTTTCAAACATGGAAACAACATAATATAAACTTAAACACATATAAACAAACATATACAAACACAAACATCTATATATAAGTAAAAACATATATTCACATATATAAACATATATAGCAAAGAAAAAAAACATAAACAAACTTGTCAAAATTATAAATTAAGAACATTTGTAAACACAACATTATTTGTGTAATATTTGTTAAATGACATACCTTGTAATGCATGTTTATCAACTTTAAAAAACAAACTATTAAAAGATTTTGTTCTTGAACATGCAACATATAATTGGCCGTGTGAAAAGCAAGGCTTTTTGAGATAAACACCAACTTTATCAAATGTTTGACCTTGACTTTTATTTATGGTCATTGAGTATGCTAACCTAACTGGAAATTAACGACGTTTAAGTGTAAAAGGTAAATTTGAATCTGATGGAGCTAATTGAACTCGAGGAACAAATACCCTGTTACCAGCTGATACACCTGTTAGAACCTCACCATCAATGTAATTGTTGTGTAGTGCACGCACCATCAAACGTGTTCCATTACAAAGTCCACCTTTGAGATCTAAATTTCTAAGTAGCATTATAACAGCACCAATTTTCAACTTTAGGCAATGAACAGGCATACCTGATGGAGTCAAAGTATTTAAAAACTCAACTGGAAAATTATAAATTTCATTATGATCATCAGTTTCAATGCTATCTGAACTTAAATAAGTTTTAACATCACCCGGTAATCGATGAAGGACTTCTTCATTTATTGCCAATGAATCAACATTTGTTGGTGTTAAAATAGCACGTTTTGCATAATCAGCTTCTTCTGCACCACCAAAAATCTTTTCCACAATAGATTCATTATCATTGAGAAAACACTGCTCAGGTATTTCAATACACCCTTGCAAAGGATCTTCAGGCTTGACAGGTAATGTTCCACTTCCAAGCTTTAAAAGCCATTGAGAAAATTCCTCTTCTCCTATCTGAACCCTCATATTTTCAGTTAATGAAAACCTTTGCACATATTGCCAATGTTCAGAACACTTTATACATGATTCTACAACATCTGCTGGTCGACCTCTCTTCACAACTGGAAGTATTTGTCGAAAATCTCCACCCATAAGAATAACTTTACCACCAAAAGGAAACTTATTATTACAAATATCTTGTAATAACTTATCAATGGCACTCAAAGCATGTTTGGGTATCATAGATGCTTCATCGAGTAAATATAAACTAACTTGTCTCAGGAATCTACCATGAATGGAGTTTGGAGTTACATTACATGTGCTAGTTTCCAAAATTGGAACAGGAAGTTTGAATAAGCCGTGCAATGTGCATCCATTCTTAAGAAGAGTTGCAGCTATTCCTGTCCATGCAGCTATTGCAGTTCTAATATGCCTGCTGCGTGTTTCAGCAATTAAATAATTGTAAGTAAATTTTTCTTTATGGATGGGCCTGCCGGTTGTTTTACCACAACCGGCAGGCCCATCCATAAAGAAAAATCTTGAATGCTTATTTTCATTATTAGGTTCTTCACTAAGTGCAGCAAGGATTGCATCAGCTACATTACGCTGATTATCGTTTAATAATGGTCTAACTCGATTTGCTTCATCAATAAATACCTGAATATCTCCATCATCATTTTCTAGGACATTATCTAATAACTGATCTAATGTAGGCAAATTATAATCAGTTAAAGTTTTACCACTCTGATTAATTATAGATTCAATTTGACGAAGAGCAGTCTGTTCAGCAAGTACAACTGGCATTGAATGGTGTATGTAATCCTCAATCATATAATCTTTAAATGTATTCCAAAGGTGTAAAGGATCATCAGGTTCACATAAAGTCAATATAATGGAAAACAGTTGCCTAATTTGTTTAGGCATTCGAGTTGCTACAGCTTCAGTTAATGTATTTCTCCATTCAATGTCATCTTACAATAGACCTAATCGATAACATGCTTCACGAAATGTATTAAAAACAGTGCCATGAATAGTACGCAAATCCTCAAAAGACATTGCACCTTTTACATGCAAAAGCAACAATCTAAGAAAAAATACTTCACTGGTTAGATTGACTTTATACATTCGCACAATCACCTTATCACTGCCTCTTTGTCTTACTTTCCACTTGCAATTTTTACCATCAAAAACAAAGTGATATGGAATTTCAACATAAGAATACTGACGTGCTTCATTTATCTCAGCATTTAATTTAAACCAAGCGGTTAGGTGAGTGTCACGCTGTGCAGCACGATCTATAGCTACTCGTTCTTCTCCTTCGTTAAAATATACCCTCTGATTATCAGGAAGGTGGACTTGAAGGCGGATAATAGTATGTGACATATCACTTATGGAATACTCAAATATTCGCCAAAGAGCCTCTGGTGCAGAAACAAAGCGACAATCTAAAAATGTGTTAATTTCATCATGGTCAAGACTTTCATTAATTAACACATGAGCACAATCATGCCCATTATAGACATATTTATATAAATACTTAACTGACTTAATAGACATGCAAGCTTCAACATTAATATGTGCTTGGTATTTTTTAGATAACCAAGGGTTGTAGGGTACAACCCATCGATTATCAACTTGGTTACCTTTTATAACGACTACTCTACCATTATCTAAACGCCTGTAGTGAGGATAGCCATTGAAAGTTGCAACAGTGTGAGGATTAAATTCTTTAGGAAACTTTTTTGTGCAAATCCCATCTTTCATGCAAGAAGAATTGGGATTCAAAATTCCACATGGTCCGTGAATCATACATGTTTTTATAATTTCAAAAAGTTCAGGATCAACAGTTTGATCTGGAATTTCAGCTGATATTAGACTATCAATATCCTCTGCTGTTTCTAGCTTATCATCATTTACAAAGTGCAATAAAATATGTACATGTGGCAAACCACGTTTTTGAAACTCAATAACCTGTACATGACTTATAACTTTACCTAAGACTCCGTGTTTAAAAATATCATCTAGGAAGCATTTAAGTTTCATCTTAAATACACGACAAACTACATCAGGTCTGTCAGATGGGCTCTCACCTGGATTTAAATTTTCTGTAATTTCTTTCCATTTTGGATTGCAGGTAAAAGTAATAAAAAGATCTGGTTTGCCATATCTCTTTATAATTGCCATTGCATCTTCAAAATTTTCTTTTAAAGCTCTTGGACTTCCAACATATGAGGATGGTAGTATAACAACACGACCTGGTCTTACATTAAGGTTATTTGCAGCGTTATTTACATGTTCATATAATGTATCATATTGTTCACTTCTAAGTCTGTTTTGGTTATTTCTAATAAAAGCAAGGCGCTGACCTTCAATCTTGACATATGCATCAACAGCATACTGTTGAAAAAGCTTCTTACCATAAAATATAGGATTAAAGGTTTCTCTAACAGAAAGCCTGTAATTGTAGTACTGAGACAAAGTAACCCGATTTCTAACACGTGTAGCTCGGTCAGGATGATGCTCTAGTTGCTCATGCCATCCAGCATCACCTCTTGGAAAAAATATTGGATATATCATTGGATCTAGATTTGCAGACATACTTGAAATTGTTTTTAAGGCCTGACCTCGAGGGTATATAACTACTTCCCTAGATGGAGGTGGAGCACCATCATCCCCAACAAAAACAATGGCAACTTCCTCATGTGAAGGAAGATTGTATCGACGTCTATCACCACCTTCAAGCAATGACATTTTAACAATCGAAGTTGGTCGACCTTCTAAAGCTGCTTGACGTACTTCTTCATCTTCAATTTCAGCCATGTTTTTAAATGCAATAACAAATGGGTTCTCTTGACTAATTATAGTCTGCAAAAATTCCATCAACTCACGTATGCAACAATCATTTTGCTCCATTCGAAAATTTAAAGCAGTATTAGGATCATAAACATATAACTGACAATATGCAGGCAGAACATTTTGATCAGGTCTCAGATTACCAACACGATGCACAATTTGTCCGCAAATCCTAAAACAGGGTGGCCCATGATCAGACAGAGGAGCTATTCTTGCTGTGAATGAAGCAAAAGATAAACAGGCATTATAACTTCGAATATGCTTGAAGAAATTTTGATTCGTAGCACGATCAACATGGTTGCCTGTCATTAAATTGTGCATGAGCAGTGGATAAGGCGAAAGTGGAGCTAACGCAACTTTTCCAGAATGGCAGCACAGAAAATGTGTTTCATTTAAAAAAGTTTTGGCACCACAATATTGACAAATATGGTTCATTTCTCCAAGGTAATTACTCACTATAAAAACATTATTTCTTGCTATGCAATGCATTCCACGTCTATGTAATACTCTCCTAGCCTGATTTCTTTCATTTTGGCGACGATTAATTTCTTCTCGCCTAGCCTGATTTCTTTCATTTTGGCGAAGATTAATTTCTTCTCGCCTTGCCTCATTTCTTTCATTTTGGCGAAGATTAATTTCTTCTCGCCTTGCCTCATTTCTTTCATTTTGGCGACGATTAAGTTCTTCTCGCCTAGCCTCATTTCTCTCATTCCGACGATTTCTTCTTATTTCAGCTCTCAAGTTATTTGACATAACTAAGAAACTATGTTTGATAAAAGTTGATTTGATTAATTTTTTGTTATACTAATCTAAAATGGAAAAACATAATATGTGCATTTCTAATTATCAATATAAACTCTATAAGACTATTTATATATTTTCTAATAAAAATTATTGACCTAAAGTCTTAACTTAACTGGTTTAAAACAGAGAAAAACCTAAAAGTTAAACATAAGTTGAACCACTAAGTATTACATTTAAAGTAATAAAACAAAATATTTTAGAAATAAATTAAAATAAAATTATAACAAATTTTAACAATTTTTTAATGCTAATAATAACTAAATTAAATAGTAAAATTATTTACAAATAAAAAAACGACATGCCAAATTGCAAATTGCAAATAAAACTTGTCTAACATGTAACATCATATAGTTCACATGTGGCTATCTTTAATGATTACTTTTTTATAATAAAAATCTAAAGAGAATAATATAAACATTAATATGTGTATAATGCAACAATTAGGCATATAAAACAAACAAATAGAATAAGAAAAAATTGTAACTAAATTACAAAATATTTACTATCAAGAAATCAAAAACTATATGAAATAAATAAAAATTAATAGACAAATTATTTAACATTTAACCACATAAGAGTTGTTTTGAAAGTTTAGACTCTCAAATCAGAAATAAAAATCAATAAATATAAAATTAAAAAATTAAAATATCAAAAAAAAATAAAAATACTTGCAAAAATCGAAACTAAAAGACAACTTTTTTGAAACGTAAAGATATATTTACAACAAATAAATAAATTAACACCAAAAAAAAAAAAAAAACTACTGATAAAAATTCATAATGTTTGACCTTTGGTCATTCTGCCTCCCAGCACCACTCCTCCTACCGGTGGCCCCATATGGGGTCTGTCTCCTCCATCTAAAGGAGGGATCATCCCCCCCATATTGGCACCTTTGGAAGAAGGCCCTCTGTGATAATGGGCCTGGGTGCTGGGAGCGATATAAAAGGAAACTCTCCCAAGATGCTAAAAAAAAAGCAATAAATTTGATTACATACCATATATGCATATATATATATATATATATATATATATATATATATATATATATATATATATATATATATATATATATATATATATATATATATATATATATATATATATATATATATATATAAATTCTGCATAAAACGACTAACATATTAATTTTAAAAACGACTAAAATTCACTTTACCTGTTGCAACTGAAGAATGTGTTGCTGTTAAGAAAAAAATATATATATATAAACAATTAAATCATGTATTTATATACAAACTTCACAAATTTAATGTTTATATTTAAATACACATAACACCCATATAAATGCATAAGTGTGAAAACATGTTACCTGACACTGATGCCAATGGTGCTTCTGTGGAGGTAAAAAAAAAAAAAAAATTATTATATACTACAGTCATGAAACTTCAAACATAAAAAAAATTGAATGTTTATGTTTTAATACACATAACACCCACAAAACTACATAAGTATGTAAAACACACTACCTGAAATAACTGCAAGGGGTGCTGTTGGAGAAGCGAAAAAAAAATTAAAGTTTAAATTAACACAAACCAAACATTCATAAAATTGCATACAAAAGAAAAAAATTTAATGCTAATTTAAATGCATAAAAAATTAATATGCATAAAACCTATAAAACTGTATAAGTATGCTAAACCCACTACCTGACACAACTGCCAATGGTGCTTCTGTAAAGGCAAAAAAAAAAAAAAAATTGTAATGTTCAAATTAACATATATTTAAAAGGTATGAAACTGCATACAAATGTTAAAAATGTAATGTTTCAGCTTGAATAATACAACACCCAAAAAATACATAAGTATGCAAAATACATTACTTGATGCAGATCCCGTTGGTGCTTCTGTGGAGACAAAAAAAAAAAAAAAAATTAAAAGTTAAAAAAATTAACATAAACTACAGAGTCATGAAACTTCATACAAATATAAAAAAATTGAATGTTTATGTTTCAATACATAAGTTTGCAAAACACACTACCTGAAATATTTGCCAGGGGTGCTGCTGGAGAGGCAAAAAAAAAATTAAATTTTAAATTAGCACAAACCAAACATTCATAAAACTGCATAAAAAATAAAAAAATTTAATGCTCATGTTTTAATACGCATAACACCTATAAATCTGTATAAGTATGCAAAACCCACCTACCTGACACAACTGCCAATGGTGCTTCTGTAAAGGCAAAAAAAAAAATAGTAACGTTCAAATTAACATATATTTAACAGGTATGAAACTGCATACAAATATTAAAA